CGTTTCTTACCAAATTTTTTATGATCTCCTTCTCCTTCTTCTTCTTCCTCTTCCTCTTCCTCTTCCTCTTCTTCTTCTTCTTCCTCTTCTTCTTCTTCTTCTTCCTCTTCTTCTCCTTTCTCTTCTTCTTCTTCTGTTTTCTTTTGTCTTTTATAACACCATGGGCAACAAGTACGATATACAGCTGAAAAACATTTACTAAATGGTTCAATTGGGATGCATAAAAGAATCTAAATAATTAAAATTAATTTGTAAGAATAAATTAAGAAATAATCGAATTACAAACCTGTTGCCATATAAGTGATCCAACACCAAAAAGTAAACTGTATCCCCATTGTTTAATATTTAATCTTGCAGTGCTGAAAACTTTATCACCAAAAGTAACAATTAAAATCTAAAAAAAATTCATATGTAAATATAAAATTTTTCCTATATTTTATCTCTTTTCATACTTGTGCAACAAAAGAAAATATCCATATACAATAGAAAAATGGATTTCGAAATATTCCTTTAAATACATTTCTTTCACCATGTAATTTTCTTGCATTAATTTCATTAAATAAAGTCATTAATACAAATGCATTAAATACCATTGTAAATTGTTCACTTATTTTTCTTCCAGCTTGTTGATCCTTTTGAATTTCTTGAACAGTTGATGTCACGTCCAAAAAAAATTGTCCAGCATAAAGTATAACAAACATAATAATAAGTTGATACAAAGATTGACCAAGAATATTACGTAACATTAATGGTGATATAATTGATTTTGTACGACCATAAGGTTTTCGATTTAATAATGCTTCTGTTGGTGGTTCTGTGGCTAATGCTAATGATGCTAATGTATCCATAATAAGATTAACCCATAACATTTGAACAGCTCGTAGTGGAACACTCTAGAAAAAGAAAACCATATATATTTTTCTAAATAAGAAAAACTATTAGTATAATTTCTGCACAAAAAAAAAGTGAGACACGATTGATCTGTATATATTGAAAATTAAAGAATTCTTAAAAATATGTTTCATCTTGGAATTTTCGATGTATTGATATATCTGTGATTGTAGTTGTTATTTGTTATATGTTACAGTGTGTTTGGAAAGAGCGGCAAAGACAATTCAATCTTCTTCCGTAATAATTTCATAGAAGGTTTTAGTTCTGTGACAAAGTTTGCTACAGAGTAGGGACCGGTCTAAACTGTCAGACCGGCCAGTTGGTTGTCGATCCAGAAAAAATTTGAAACTGACCGGTTTTTCACTGATTGAAAATTTTTTTTCTCATTCGAATACTGTCTCGACTGTCAGACCTTATTTTTCTATCGTTCCTGTTTATATTATGCGTTAAGAAAGATCAAGTACTCGTTAATCAGTTAAAGTACTCTTCAAAGAAAAGCTGTGTACGGTGTCATTGTCGCGCTAGTCTCGAAAAAAGTTTTGAACCAGGCCGGAGCGGACTGGTTCCAACTCTGGTCTGCTACAGGATGCGATGGACAAAGACAATACTAAAGTGCGTGCCACGGTCTATGCGAAGTTCAGATTTCTACCTCTGTATTTCAACACTAGGAATACGTGGAAACAAGTTTTTTTGGTTCCGATCTCAGTCTCAAGAAAACTACTCTCAGAACTTATTAGTATCACATCTAAAAGAATTCTTCAATATTCGCTTTGTGATTTATTTAGTCAACGACTAGCACTTGTTTCGGTCATCTCTCTTGATTGATATGATTTATTAGATTATTCATTTAAAACCATAAAATATTTAGTTCTAGTTAGGAGAATTTTTTTTTATCGTAGTCCCAGTTTCATACATCGCTATTCAAAACTTCTTTTTAGATCGTATTTTATCAAAGAAATGAGAATGTAGATCATACACTAATAGCTGCAGCTGAAATAACTGATATGGCACCAGCTGATAGATTAGCAGTAAGTTGAAATTGAAGAAACTTTGCAATACAATCATAAACATTTCGTCCCCACATCATTGCTTTAACAATAGATGAAAAATTATCATCAGTTAAAATAATATCCGATGCTTGTTTAGCAACATCTGTTCCTTGAATACCCTAAAAGATAGATAAACAAATTTTATGTGATTTGTCGTCAATAAAATAAATATGATCTGACAATATATATATGGGGTTGGCCAGTCTGGCCGGATACCCCAATACTATTTTTATCGTTCTGCT